GTCTAAGATTGGTCTTTTATTTTAGTGGTTTGACAAGAGGGTTGAGGTTAGGTTAATTCTAACTCTAATAATTGGTTCAATTCACCACTAAGCTGCAAATTACTCCAACGCAGCGCTCTGGTCCAGTATAGCAGGATTCAGTGTAATAAATTAGGATAAATAAAGGGAATTTATAGCTGAGGAAACACTCAAATCAATAAAACTTGGTTTATTTTGGAAGGCCTTGGATTTTATTTCCAGTATAGTGTCTCAATAAACTACCAACAACCTCTGCTGAGCAGGAAGTTACAAACTGTTGCACTGTTAGCAGATGAACACCAAAAAGCCTTGGTGCTCTGATAAATACGATGCATGGATCAAAATGTCTGATTAAAAAAATAAATGAAATCTGCTCATGTTTTATTGGGAATGTGTCAAAAGCTTTGTGAAAATAAACAGATTTTTATTCATTCAGAAAAATCAGTGTTTCTGCTTTAAACACGATTTTCCTCCCTGGGTTTGGAAGCCATTTTTATTTGGATTTGAGTCGATCCAAACCTGAGGCAAGGCTAAACAGTCAGACCAAGGCAAATGCATTTAGTTTATCAGTAATAATGTTTTCTCTTTTTTGTGTTTTCATCAGAACAGAGCATCTGCTCATGTCCACAAATTATATTAAATTCACAAATGCTGCTATTAAATAAAATCATTTATAGTCAGATTATTCCTTCTGTATCTCTTGCCTGTGGGTGAGTATTTGTTAGTGTTAAAAGTGATTTTTTTTTTCTCTTTTTTTGCAGGGAAACTGAGATTCTTTGTTTTCATTCAGCACACCTTATCTTTACTCGTGCTATTTTAAAAAGCGACAGCCTATATTTCCTATGCAGCCGAGAGAATCTTGGTTTAAATCGAAGCCAACGCACCGGTTCAGCGTTGAAATAAATTCTGCTTCTCAGTGGGAAGTTGCAGTTTTTCTCCACATTAAACTCTCCAAGCTGCCGGTAAATTTGGCCCAGCGGAAAGCAGGCCGCTGCGGACTGCAAGACGCAGAATGAAAATGAACTTTCTCCGTCAATCAGTTTCTCTCCAGAAAGACAGCAGTCTGCAGTGTATGATTTCTGGAAGGGCAGGGAAATAAATAAATAAAAAAGCACAGATCATGAGTGTTTGTATTCATGAATGTGGCAGCGTGGGCGAGTGAGTCTCCAGAAAGTGACAAAGATAACAGGGCGAGGAAACTGATAGACAATTGCTGGGTGACTTGGCTCCTATTTCCTGCCTGTCCCCGGTGATTACCTCGGCCTGCTCTGTTTTTCTCTCTATTCCTGTGCACATTGTCAAACAGCATCATCTTGCAAAGCCTCCCTGAGCCCAGATGAGAGATGGAAAGATTTATGTAAACAACATCTAACACCTCGACATGCTGGAGAGGGACAGAGGAAAGCGGGGCGAGGTAAAAGGAAAAGGCAGGCTGAAGCACATAATTCAGACGTGGAGGTGTGACAGAAACAAACCTGCAGAATATTGCACATTCAATTTATTCCTTTTCACTTTTTCTCTCCTGCTTCTGTCGGTGCAGAAGTACTTATTGTCACTGCGTGGAGATCAGGAGCTTTGGATGCACGGTAAAGACAGACCACCTAGTGAAGCAGACAGCGTCCTGGACTTTCTGAGCGGTTCAAGTGCTGTGTGAACGATCTGGGCGAGCTGGGCCGGCGGCCAGCGCCGATGACACGGCAGACGCTGCGCACGGCATAAAACGTGTCTGCTGCAAAACTGTTTTCTTTATCTACCAGAAAGTAAAAACTTGATTGGGAACAGAGGTGCCTATTACAGTCAGAAGTAATAATAGGGTCGGGTGACGGCGTACATGACAGAAGACGGGGAAAGAAAGAAAAAAAAGGCCTTCTGGCAAGCATTGTAGCCGAGCAGGGCGTGTGCAACGGCGGGAGTCGCTTGCGCTGTTTGGGTGCTTATTTACTGGAGGAAATGGTAGCAAGGTATGCAAAAAATGAAGAAGAAGAGCCAGAAGCTTTACAGACAGACAGAATCACTGTAATGATTGTTCTGTCTTTTGTCACACACACAGCAAGCCAAGAAACTGTGAAACTGACGTCTCACAAGGGAGGTTTTGAAAGGAATAATGCTGTTTTTGACAGATCTGAACTGGATGTCATTGAAGCTTTTAGAGAAAAAATGGCTGCTGATTCGTCCGAGGTGAAAAAGAAATATGCATGTAGAAATAGTCAATTTAGTGAAGCTCATTTCCTTTTGTATGGTTCAAAACTCAACCACAGACATGTGGCCCGACTTCAGTGGTTCTCCATGTTTGCGGGCCACACCCACTTCAGCAGCAACAAAACATACAGACCACACTGCGTCAAGAAAGCGGATCGAGAACTGGGTCGTGTATAATTTCTGATTGGAATTTATTCACCAAACACTTTCCCCTCCATTTAAGACAAAAATGTCTCGCGTCTAAAGCTGGCGGACCGCTAAAGAGCGGACCCGTCTCTGTCGCTTTGACGCTCCAGGCGCCGCTCTTCATACCATAATCCCTAATCATAAACTAGGCTTACAAGTCATAAAATATAAACTGCTTGTTTACTGTTTCTCTCAGAAACCACCTACAACTCTTTAGGCCTGTCACCATGGAAACGAGATTGGACCCTTTGCACGTGACGTCACGCTCTCCAGAAACAACCAATGCGCTCCTTTAAAAACAGACACAGGATGCTCTGTTTTTACAAGGTAAGACAATTAACTTTCATATACTTTATATGTAAGTATAATTAAAGATATCAAATACCGCGTAATGGAGAGGGTACGCTGCCTCTAACCACTGGTAACCATGGAGACAATGCCGCACCGTCATGTAGCCTAGCATGTATGGAAAAAAACTGGTTAGCATCTCGTCTTCTGTACGTTTTCAAGGCTGTTTCGGTGTAACAGGAAGCGTCGTTTATGACATAATGGTAAAAGTCATGTGGTGTGAATTCAGGCAGTCAGTAATTTAATCAGCACGTCAGGAGGGAGGAGGAATGGGTCGGTGTTTGAACGCTAGCTGCTCCAAACTTCTCTAAATACCGCCGTCTGTGAGCCCAACCAGGCGTGTTACGTTCACAGACACATTAGCTCGACTCGAACAAGTAGAAGCCATGAATAAACTGGCAAAAAACAACTTTAGAAAACAATTTCAGTCGCTCTGTCCAAGATTCCCGTCCCTCACTTCTGATGTCCTGCATGGCGCCTCCAGTAAATCCACATCATTCCGACTCTCAGGATTTTTATGAGCTCCAGAATACATACGTTCCCATCCTTCCAGTTTGAGCAACGTTATTCCCCAGTGAGAGTTTCTACAGTCACAGGCCCATCCTTAGTCTATAGCTTTATTTCAAACCCAAAAGGTGAAATAAATATGGTTTTGACAGCAGCATAGCACTGCAGACTTCCTGTTCATCCTCCTGCAACATCCAGGCAGCTTGATTTCTACTCTGGTTTTCACATCACTAAATAATTTATAGACTTCCAGGTGGACTTTGCATTTACGTCTGTGGTTAGCGGTTCCAACATGACAGTGAATGTTTCTGCACTGCAGAAACCAGACATTCACCTCCAGTTGGACACGTCTCAACTCAGAGGCGTCTTCATTTGTTTGGACAGCATTTCATAAATTACCTAATGAGAAATACTGTAATATTAAAACACAGGAGTAGTTCTTGTCAAATACAAGCTGTCTCTCAATGGGTCAGCATGTTACTGCCTGGTGATATAAATATTGGAGATGAAGCTTGACATATTTATGTCTGAGGCTCTTATTATGAAGTAGGACAGGAAATAGTACTTAGTTGGGTTAATAAAGCTGGTTGAGCAACACTCCAGCATTTTAAATCATTTGTGTTGCAGGATTTTGAGTTCCCAGTAGAAAATAGAGTTACAGATGAGAAATGATTTATTTTAAAGCACTGTAAGGAAATATTTCAGGTGCCTGGTGCACAGTTTAATTTAAAGGACTATTTCACTGTTTTTAGAAAGCTGGAGTACATTTTATACACTCTAACTAAATATTCAATTGATTGAAATGTTTAATTGCACACAGAACAGATTGTTAAAGGTTAAACTGAGTTTTGAGAAACCATTTATTTTATTTTATTTTGCAAATGCAAAAGACCATTTTTAATGCTTCTTTGGCAGAAGAACCGACCTGCATGCAGACCGACACAAGCGTGAAAAGAGAAGAATATTTAAAACATAAGTTTGTAATTTGAAAATCCTCTTCTTCATTTTATGATTTTCAAAACAAAAATCAGAGCAGAACAGCAACAGAAGCTGAATATGTTGTTCCAACCCTATAATCTGTCATTCTTTAAGAGTTCTCCAAGTTTAGATATAATCTAATAAAGTTGAGTAAATAAAGCAATCACATCGCTGAAGGCCTCACCTTTGAGATGTTTTATGAAATGAATATAAATACTTAAAAAGCCTGTTTTTTTGAATGGGAAATATACTTTAAAACACAACTCCAGGTTTAGAATAAATCTGGTTTATTTATGTCATATCAATATGCAGCAAATGTTATCACCAACCAGATTTATATACACAAAGATATACCTATAATAAGATCAGGCTAATTATATGAACAAAGTTAATTTAAATACATATATTACAGTTTGATCTGAGTGATAATATGACACAGTTATGTTCATTTTTCCAAATTAAAAAACAAAAGAAATGGTCAAATAAAAGTGATGTAATTCCTTTCTGGAGGAACATTTAGCATCAAGCTTACTGTTCATTTATTTGATAGAAATAATAAATCGAAATGTTTTAGATTTATATCGGCATCATCATCCTGATGAAATCAGAGTTTTCCTGCCGTCTGCTGAAATATTTCATGCAGTGCGTTGACTCAGCGCCTCTCAGACAGAATAAGGACAGAACATCTCCAACACGGTAATTAGTCGCCGTGCAGCTGTGTGTGGTCTGTTTACATGAGCCCGTAATGTATTGTTGAAACGTACCTGAGGGATGAGAGTTTCTCATGTACAGCGCGACACACTGCTGTAAAACGTTGGACTTTGATCCTTTAATGCAGCCCGGTTTAAGCGGTAAGCTCCTCGTTTATCCGCTGTGAGAAAAACTCTGAGGCGCCTCTGACCTTTGACCCGCTCAGGTTGGTTCAGGAAACCCTCCGGTGTGCAGGCATGAGCACAGCGCAGCACAACGAGCTATCACACAAAGAGTGAGACCAAAACAATTACACACAGGTGTCATAAATAATGTCAGTGACAGCCCAGATGCTCAGCCATCCCTGCTCCACTCAGGCCTAGTCAAAGCACATTAAAGGTGCTTTGTGTCGCGGCACAAGGCTGAGCATTGTTCTTTGTTCAGCGCCGTCTAACTGGAGGTGTAAACAGAAAGGTTGGCTTACAGCTGGGCTCAGGTGTTCAGGAACAGAAACATGCGACTCTGTCACCAGCAGACTTTATTTATTCAGAACAAAAGTAAAACTGTTTCCATCCGGAGGCGTCAAGGAAAAGCGTTAATTATGTGTCATGAAGCTTGAGATCAAAAATAAGCAAATGCATGCTGGAGAAATTAGATTTTTATAGCAAACAAAAAACATTCCTTCAACCAGAGCTGGAAGTTACATTTACTCTGTTACATTACTGGAAAAAATGATCTTTTAGGAGTATTTTATACGTGTTTTTAAGTATCTCTGCTCTTACTTGAGTAAAATTTCTGGATTTTCTACCGACTGAATGAAAAACAAACATGTTTTAACCAAAAATCCACCAGACAGACACAGACCTGCAGCTTTTATTAAAGTTTCATCTTTACTGAAAGAAACTGACTTGATTTGCCTGATTTTAATATTTTTTTAATTAGTCATTTCCGGCCTTAAAATACCAAAATTTCCACTTAACTTTATATTTTGATGATGTAATTTTTAAATATTAAATGACTGATCATTTCATCAGTTACTCAGTACTACAGTAGATTTTTTTCAGCAATTTCTTGGTAATTTTTACTTTTACTTGATTAAAAATATGTTGAAGTAGTTCTAGACTTACTTAAGTATAATTTTAGTTACTCTGCCCACGTCTGCCTTCAACCAAGACTAAAAATATCCTGACATTTCAAATAACAAGGAGCTAAAATTGCCCCAGTTAACTTTTCCTCCAGCAAACATACTTCTTGACAAAATCCCCCAAACCTTCACAGTTGTAGTTTTTGTAGTTTCTGCTGTTTACCAAATAAACTGACTCACATCAGGACTTTATGACGGTTACCCGAAGCCCACGTTGGCACATTTCTAACTTTTATTTGCTCTGGTTTCACTGCTCCAGTAAACATGCTTTGGTCTCATCTGCAAAAACAATGAAGTCCAATAAATGGGTGTGACCAGTTTTAGGGTAAAAAGGCACTAAATGTTTTGGATTAAAAATAAAACTAATCAAAACCATGGCTAATAAAAGGAAAGCTCTTTGTGTTTCTTATGTTTTCTATTTAGGAAGATCTAAATACTTTATGAAACGTTTCCATCTGCATCAGCTCCATTTGATGAAGTGATGAATTCTTAAATTTCAGCCACACAAATTATTCTGAGGGACACAAAATAACAAAATAATTAAATTTTTTCCATTTAGGCACCAACAGTTTCATCTTTACATTTACATTTCATACATGAAAACCAATTTCACACTCTGTCCTCCTTTCACCTTTCTCTGCTAAAATACCTACAGTTTTCTTACAAACCATTTTAAAAGGCTGACTGAACACAAATGAAGTCCATTTGACTCCAGTTTTCCATTCTGAACAAAGTTTCCATGTTTTCTCACATCCTTACATTTTCCACTTCAGAAGAAGTACAGATACTTTTATGAAAAAATGCTCCAGTAAAAGTACAAGATAAAGTGTTTTAACCAAGTAAAAGTAAAAATGTGCAAGTTTTGAACTAATTTTTACCTTCAAGAATACAAAGTGACTGAAATACTTAAAGTTCTACTCAAACAAAACATTACTTTTCCTCTTTTGCTGGTAACATCTGTGTTGGTATAGAAATAAAAAACACTGATACGGTCCAGTTGCATCCAACTGAATGGAGAATTACTGGCACTATTACATGTTTTTTTGTGCAACCTGTGGCTTTTTACTGTTATTAACGAGCCATGCCTGAAAATATAAGGAGTAGAGAGTACAGATATTTCTCTTAAAATGTAGAAAATAAAAGTAAAAAGTCACCAGAAAGATAAATACTCAAGTAAGGTGCAGATACCTGAAAAATCTGCAGTAACCAAGTACACTGGTAACTTAGTATTTTATTAGTTTCAATACCCTCAAAAAGCAGTTTATATCTTTCTGAGGATGTTCAGCTGCATGTTGGATTGTTTGTTTTTCTTTAAAATGAGGACATTTTATGCCTAAAAATCAACCAAAACGAGACAATTTGAAGCAGAATGAGGTTTAACAAACTGAGCTTCAGAGCCTCAATTTTAAACCCACAACCAAACCGGTGCGACCTTTTCCTTTTCCTCCATCCTACAGCTGAAATTACTTCTTTTGTCAAAGTAAAATGAAGTCCTGGATTCCTCCATTAACTTATTTTAATGTCCAAGTTTAAAAAAAAAGTTCTAATCCAGTTTTACCAAACTTTTTTAAGCTATTGGGGATTACAGTGGTTAAACAAAAACAGCACATGTGCAGCAGTAATGTGAGGCCTCAGAAACACATGTGCAGCAGTAGTGTGAGGCCTCAGAAACACATGTGCAGCAGTAGTGTGAGGCCTCAGACACTCATCTTTCCCACAGATTGGCCTTAATGACCAAATGATTGGCACGCCTGTTGTCTCTTTTTCCACTAACAGAAGTGCTGAGTGGACATGATTTCCTGGTTCCCAGCGCTGGTTCTGTCCAGGAGGCAGGAAGAGAGGCGCGCATGTTGCAACACATCGTCACCAGGTTTCCCTCAATGGCTTTATAATGATCTTAGGGAGGAATTCTTTTGTCTATCCTTATGGAAACAGTGTCTGTTGGTGTCTGACGATGACAAATGACCCGCATACCGGCTCTTCTTTCTTCCGGAAACTGTTTTGAAACTTCACACCTACACACTGTCTTGGAAAAATACTCTCTGCTTTGTTTACAGTTTGTGATGGTGAGTTAAACAAAACTTGAGAGAGTAAAACAACGCATGAAGAGATTCTGTACAGTATTTCAGTGTTTTAAATAAATGCTCAGCTAAAATGAAGACGAGGGCGAAAAACAAAGCACTAAGTTTAGTTGAGTGAAAACATAATAAAAATTAGTTAGACTTAAACCATTGTTTAGGGTCTTTTGTTGAAATAGACAAAAATGACTCAGAATCTTAATTTAAAACCAAATTTTACTTTTAAATTTGAAAGAACTGTCAGTTTGCGGACAGCATCATTCATGTGCCAAGAGTTTTGCTTTGCTCAAATGAAAACCATTGCCTGTGGCTGAGGAGTTCAAGTATCTTGTTGTGTTGCGATAAAGCGAAGCCAGACAGATCGAGGTTTCATCTGCAGTAATGAGGAAGCTGCTCCAGTCTGCTGTGGTGAAGGAGGAAGGAAACACTTTTGATTTCCTGAACCATCTGCGCTGAAACCCTCACTAATGGTCAGGAGACTCTGAACATCTCCAAAAGAACAAGATCTCAAACACAGGCAGCTGAAAATAACGTTGAGAAGTGAAGACCTCCATCATAAAGGAGGAGCTTAAAGTGGAACCACTGATCCATCGTGATTGTTGAGGGGATCCAGACGTCTGATTGGGTCGACTTTATTTGGAGGTTTTCAAAACAAAGACTTTAAAAAAGCTCCTAAAGTTTCCTGATCAACCAACAGCAATGCAGCAACTGGTTTCTGGATGGTGATTCTACAACAAAACACTTGTCTTTTCCAGCAGCCATTGTACAGAGTGGTTATTTGTTTGCAAACAAAGCGGATGGCGTAGGCCATCCGACTCTTTCTGCAGTCAAGCTGCACAGTTGTAGTTACCTAAATTTATCTTGATGTTTTAGCATTAGCTAGCATGTTGTTAGCATGCTACAACTGTTTATCACCGTGTGATAAAATAAGTTAAGCTACTAAATTTATATTTTTAGCAACCCGTAAGCATTGAATGCAGGTGAGTCGCTAAATGACAAGAGAAATGGCATAAGCATTGGATAAAAAAATAAAATCCATATTTAGCAAACACAGGACAAATAAAATCAAATAATTTCTTTCTATTTTGGTCACAATTAGAAGGAAAATGAACTTGTAGCTGCATACATCAGGGCAAGTAATAAGCTAATCCTTCAGAAATTATAAATGGAGCAGGTTAAACACAAGTCAGTGTGAAGTACAGAGATGATGTGCTAAAAATAAAACCTATGACTGCTGAAGACGCCGCAAAGCTTCATGCCGGAGTTACGCCGGACGAAGAGAGGCGATCTCCGTGGGCTGTAAGATCTAAATGATTTTATTATTCTCATTGTAAATAGTTTAAGTAGTTAAAATAATGTGTTCCTGCCTGCATTCTGAAGGCGACGCGCAGCAGAGCGGCTGCTGACGCAACGTGTCGTCAACTGATAATCCCTCTACAGCGCATACAGCAGTAAAAAAATAAAAAAAATTAAAATACAGCGATAAAACCAGCTGACCAATCGTGCTGGAGTTCCACTTTGGTTGCTAGGTAACAGTAGAATGCCTGTCGGTTGTGACTTTACAATCAAGAAGTTTTGAAATGGCTTATTTTTCAGACACCAAAAAAATGTTGGCAAAAACCTGAAATATTTACATGTTTTTGCACAAAACTTAATAATTTGATTGTGTGCAAACAATCACATATTCAACATCCTGAATATTCTTTCTAGTTCCAACTAAATTTCACAGGTTGCTTCTGGAAAGTCGATCCAAACCTTCCGGTAACGTGACGTGAAATGACTCCAGGTGTGTACAGCTGCATCTGTTTGTGCAGCAGCTCCATCTGCGCTGCTGCTGTCAGATCCAGGTATGGCTTCGTTTTCTCCTCTGCCCTTTCCCCCTCAGCACGTCACTTCAGCATCGCACTTATCTCTAACTTCAACCCGTCTCTGGCTCTTTCTTGCCTTCCCCACTCTACCCGATGGTTTGACATTTCTGTCTGTCTGACAGATAAAATAACCTCCTTCCTCTCTCCTACTCCAGCTTATTTTATTCTGCTCTCTCTGTGCTGTCAGGCCCAGTCAGTGTCACTGCTGCCTGATGTTTTCTGACTGTGCCTTATCTCGTCTCTCTCTCGCCTACTTTAATCTAATACTGCACAACATGCACGCACACATGCAGCCACCAAACACATTGTCCTTTTGCTCCCCAGTCCTGCAGGCAGATCCGTTTTCACACGAGGCCACAGCCACATTGTTCTTCTGGGCCTGAAGAACAACTGGGGCCCATCCTGCGGCCCGCCTTTCTGTAACCTTGTTTTCTCGCACAGGTTAAAATATTTTCACACCAGCTCTGAGCCGGGGTAGATAGAGATTCACGGGGCAGGAGGTGAGGAGCGTTTCCGGCTCTCTGGTCGGAGCGGCGGGGCAGATAACAGACACCCCGAAGGAAAACAGCCAGGCACCGACCGGCTGTGTTAGTTAAAAAAAAAGAAATAAAATAACTTTAAAGATTCATGTGCGCATGTGCGGGAGTTTGCCGTACTACACTGCAAAAACCATCAAATCTTATCAAGTTTTTCTTGATTTTCTAGTGGAAAAATGAAATAAGACACTCGAAACAAGACAAAACTAACTGACCTGTAACTTTTAAGGAGGTTATAGAAACTCGTTTTTAAGTCGATTCTTAAAAACTCTGCAAAAACACCAAATGTTACCGAGTGTTTTTGGTCCAGTTTCTGGTGCAAATATGAAATAGATTTGAAGTAACTTAGTTTCAGAAAGGGAAGAAAAACCTTTTTATTTAAACTGTGTAGTAAAATAATGTTCATATTGTTTCTTATCTTTTCACTTTTTACATAGAAAATCCTCCTGACCCTGTTTGTCTGTCCTCTCCTGCAAAAATACAAAATGTTACCAAGAATCTTCTAGTGGAAAATATTTTAGTGAAATAAGAGCAAATTAACTTACAAGTAACTATTCATCAAGACACAGCAGCTTGTTTCAAGTTAATACAATTTTCATGGTATTATAATGCTAATTCACTCTCAAACATACATAAACTTTAACTTTGTGAAAATTACCAGGAAAAAAAAAACACCAAAATAATAAATAAAACAAATAAAAGCACAAACAACCACAACCATTAAGGAAACAAATTATGAAGTCTCTCCAACCAAAATGACCCTTCAGCAAATATTAATCATCAGAATGGAAATTACTGAGCTCTGTGATTAATTGATTAATTACTTATTGTAACATTTTTCATCAAAAACATTGTCAGACTAATTGACTTAAAAGAAGCTCATATTTCCTGCTGAAAAGTTTTTTCTAAGTTAGTTTTGTCTTATTTCAGGTATTTGCTCTGGAAGATAAAAACACTTGGTAATATTTTGTGTTTTTGCAGTGTTCACCATGTTTCTATCATTTCCTTCTGCTTCGTTGGAGATTTTGTCACATAAAAAGCTGCTCTGAGTTTTTTAAAGACATTATTTTGAATAACTGACGCAATTGAAGTTTTATTTCCATCTCCAGTCGCGTCGTTTTTCTTATCTGGTATCGATTCTTGGAAAACTTCATTACATCCCAGAGATTCTCATTGACGTTTCAGTCCGATCCACCGAGTCGTGTTGGAAAATGATCTTCCTCTCCGCTCTGCGTTCCCAGATGAAGTGAATCCTGGCTTCGGATCAATCCCTGCCACCTCCGTGTTGGGAAAGACAGACTGTCCCAAGTGAGGGAGTTTATCAGGGACTCTTGTTCATAACTGGAAAGCACAGAGCAGCAGATCGATAAGAGATCAGTGGAGCTGAAATGAAAAGGTTTATTCCTCAACCCGGCCGCTCCGTCTGCATCCCGGCTTTCACCTCAACGCAGAAGATCTTTAAGCAAAACAAGATGCAGGCAAACGTCAGGAAGTTTAATATATCTACACTGGAAAACATCCGAAGGTGGTTTAACTTGAAAATGAAACTTTTCATCAATGTAAAAACATATTTTTAGTCAATAAAAGCTCAATTTCTTACTAAAAAGTTACTTATATGTCAGCTTTGTCTTATTTGAAGTGGAAGATATTTGCTTTAAGAAATAGATAAAAATAAGGATTTTGTGTTTTTGTAGATAGATTAGTCACACCCTAGACACAATTAATCACTACGCTTAACTTTATACGCTTGAAACAAAAATATGCACTAAATTATGGTTTTTTCAGGAATGGTGCCATTCCAACCAATTAAAATGCAAACAATTATCTGATGTTTTTGTAGCAGAAACCAGGTAATATAATATCCCAGCACTCAACAGCAGCTAAGGAAAATTTACTCCACTGTGCATTTTTATTTTTAAGCTCTTGTGTGCCTCCCCCCTTTTTGATACCGCCCTAGGCAACTGCCCATATCAAAACAGCTTAAGAAGATATGTCTGAAGATTGTCAGTTTTCCAGGTTTTAATATTCAGTTTTTTTGTTTTTACAGAAGTGTGGCTGTTGACTCCCTGGCAGGTTGCCTCTCTTCCTCGTTGCGCCACGCTCGTTGCCAATAAATCAACACAGACGCTGAGAAACACATCGGAGCGATTCTGCTGGCTGTACCGGTCCACATTAAAGACGAAAGGACCGGTGAAAAGGACGGCTGCTTTTTCACACAATCCAGTTAGCACAGGATGAGAGGCTGACATCTAAATTACCCACAAAGTGGTTCAGATTAATCATTCATTCTCCTGCAAGCCCCGACAAGAAGGCACAACAGATTACACACACACACACACACGCACACACACACACACCAACTGCACGTGTCACCAATGTTACGCTGCTACAGCAGGCCTTCAAATACGAATATGTTAATAGTTTATATCCATATGTAGCAGCAGAGACTGAAGGTCTGTGGAAGTGGTTGGTAAATCACTGTGATCCTTTTTATGGTCCAACATAAACAAAAAGTCAAAGTGGCGCAGTAAATCAGCAGAAAACACACATCTGTGTGATAAGCTGTGTGATAATGAGGTTTATGTTTTCTCATGATTACTGCAGTTTAAATGGTGTCAACAGCTCCGAGGTTTGGGCAAGTACAAGCAGATACTGTTCAGTTAGACGAGATAATGACTCACATTATTACGCTTTAAAGATGAGAAACATCAAATAAGAGCCAAACGAGGCTCCCACTTCCCTTTGTTTACCTCCATCAGGCAGCCCAGTGTTCCCAGTTTGCCCATCTGGTCAATGAATGACAGAGATAATGACTGAATATGCTCAGAGGGATTCTGTAAATTTAACTCCAAATCTCCTCATCCCTCCACAAACAAAGGATTTCACCTGATCCTGAGAAAAACTTATTTATCTTCTGCAGGTTTGTTACCGTTTGGTTTGAATTAAATCATCCAACCTGTCACAGCAAGTAAAAAAATAAAATAAAATAATTCAAGCCTTTTACAAATGATTTCACTACAGATTCTGAAACTACTGTGTTTATATGATTTCTAAAATTTTCTTTAAACAGTTTCTTAATACTGCAGTAATTGTAAAAAAATTAAATGATTTGGAAGAATTCAACACCTGGAAATCTATTACAAAATCATAAAAATGAAACCTATTAAAAATGTATTAGCATATTTAAAAAAAACTAATTCTAAATAACCATTATTTTCTGTGAAAACAGAAAAAAGACAGAATTAGATAAAATGACTACAAAATAAGCAAAAAAAAATTTTGTTTGCTGCAGTAATTCAGTTTAAAATTAACATGTAAAGTTTTGACATAAGGAAAAAAGAATAGTTTGAAAAAACATCAACCATCCATTTTTAAACAGGCAAAGTGTATAGATATAAAGATAACAAATAAAAAACCTATATTACTAATTTACCGACTCAATACTTCAATATACCTTGATAGAGAAATATATTTTATTTTATAAAAGTAAAAATTTTGGTTTCTGTGGACAGATTGTTAAAACATTTCCAGGTTACATCAACAATGCAGAAAACCCAAAACAAACTAATTCCTTCCTTGAAAGAAACTTCAGTTCCTCCACCAAACATTTCAGTCCTCAGTGTTTAAACATTTTATTTCTCTGTTTGTGTTTCTCCTTTCTCTGCAGTCAGGCTTCACTCGGTGTCTGTTTCCAGCTTGTTAACACTCGCTGTCGACTCGGCCGGTTTGCCCAGCAGGCACATGAGCGGCCACCTAAAACACGTTAGGCAGCCATCAGTCGGCGGCCGGCTGCTGAGGAGGAGCGGCGGGGCCAAAGCGGCGGCTCCTGGACGTCAGCTGGTCCTGCAGGAGAGCGACAGGGACGCAGACAGACGACACGACGGGCAGGGAGGTTTTCTGTTTTATCTGAACCCAGAGGAGCTGCAGACACAAGGAAACCTGATCAGTTTGTTGCAAACGTCCTGTTAACGCCAAAAACAAAAATTATTCTTAGTAATCAATCAGCTGAAGTTACTCCAGTGTTCAGAAAACGTGTTGTCTTGGTTTTTATTCACCTTCACATCTCACACATCTGAAATGTTCATGAGGTTTTTAAAATCCTCTGAGATGAAATCATACCGCAGCTGAAGATTCATCAAGGACTTTCTTTTGTTCGACTTTCACAAATCGATACTTAATCAATTATAGATGACAGTTTCTCTGGAACAACCTTCAGGCATCGTCACGTCTATAAACATTTAACATTTTAACCTCCATCCTCTGCTGGGTTTTACAGGGACAGTTTTCATAAGAGCCAAAGTAACAAATACTAAGATATAAAATATTTAAGAAATTTAAGCAAATTGTTTATTCATGACAAAAATGACAATAAAATTATTAAAAATATTAAATATTACATTGTTATAGTAATTAAATTAAAATAATAAAAATATTTAAGTTTAACAATAATAAAAAAGGAAACTCAAAATGAACAAAAACATAAAATATTATGGCGTTTTCATCTGCAGTCAAAGGTAAATAAATGTAAATTAGCGAATATAATAAATTAAATAATTAAACAAATTAAGTGTCTTCATAATAACAATGAAGAAACTCAAAAGTTGAGCTTTTTAATTGAAAAAGCTCAACATTCATTATTGAAGAGATTAAGATAATTATTTTAATTAAATAAAAGACTAAAAAAATAAACAGCTTTTCTGTTGAATGTTTATTTTAGCCTTATTTTTTAGCTGTTTTGACATTTTATTAGTTATTTCATTACTTTCCCATGTGGTGCTTTGTGACAGTTCTGCATGTGAAAAACTGAAATAACATGAAATAAAAAGGAAAATTTCCTGATGAGGAAAAATAAACCAGGTTATGTTTAAAGGGGGAAACCAGAGTTGCAGTGAAGTGAAACCAGCTGCTGGCGTTATGCAACGTTTCTGCTGCTCTGCGGTTTAACTGTCGTTTCTGTCAAAGTTCATCTGCAGACTGAATGTTTACAGCAATAAGACGAATCGCCGCTGCAGCAGAAAGCGTCTTGGTATGGAAGCAACGGAGGGTCAAACCTCTAAAGGTTTTCGATTTACCTCCAGTTAGCAGAATTCATCTCCATATTCCTGATATTTGCTGTTTGTTGTTCAAACGATTGATGGAAATGAAGAGGAATAAAGTCGAGGATCTGGATGTTTTAGTTTCTGCTCTCTAATAATTAATGTCAGGGTTTGCACAATCTGCTCCACAGCAAAATCCAATCGCTTTTCAAATACTTTCAAGGTAACTTTTCAAACTTTGGAGATTAAAACAACATAAATTAACCATAAAAGACAGTTTCAATTCATTGTTATATCATTTATTACTTTTATTAATAATGCCTTATGTATATTCTGCAGCAGGTAAAATAAAAAACAAAATTTCATGTTTAAATAAATAAAATCCACCAATTTCAATAAAGTTTAACGTATAAAACATAAGCCAACCTTTATTTCAATTACACATATTAATAAGATAGTGAGAAAATAGGAATAATAAATAAAATAGGAATAATAAATATTCAAAAATTAAATAAATGTTTTTGTTACGTTTTCCAGCATTTAGCAAATATAAATAACTCAAAAAAAAGAAACATTTTGTCTGATTTAAATTCAGATAAATTTACCAGTGAGGTAAAAAAAAAAGTCTGTATTTTTTCATTGGGGGTTTGTAACCATCTGGTCCCAACTGTAAATAACGTTTTCCAAATTCAGGTTTCTAATCAAACGTTAGATTTTACGGTACCAAAAGACTGCAGTTTGAATGTGAAGCTCTTTCCAAACCTTGAGAACATGGAATCCAAATTCAAGATTTTCAAGGATTTCAAGCACCGGTTCCAACCCTGATTAATGAAGTTAAAGGGAGATATTATTATTCTGTTACAAAAATACAAAACTCTCAAGAGTAACTGGAAAATAGTTTCTGAATCTGATCAATGTTTATTTTCTCAGATTGATTAATAATTCTATGATGTTCATCCAATTCTTGCTTTTAAAGATCCTTCCAACCTGGAAAAACACTTTAAATCCAGTTTAACAGGATAAAACCTGGTCACACAAAAACACCAGAGACTTCCAAGTGGAAACTTTAACTAGGTCACAGATGACTTTGATAAGTAATGAGGAGGACGACAGACAGACTGCAACACGAACGTTAACCAGGAAGACTCTGAAAATATCTTCCCTACCTGTGAAATGAGGTGAGTTATTAGGCTCCAAATCTGTGGAGATGGAGTTTCTATGAATAGGTCCCCACATGGATACACATCAGGCTACAGCCACACTAATTAATGAACCAAACTCATTATTATCATTGGCTCCAATTGAGGTTAATAGAGAATTAACACTGAGGAAGAGGGAGATTCACCAGAAATAATCTGGATACTATTGACTGGTTTTGTTCAATTGCCAAGTTGTTGCTGATTTTTATGTAAAATTTGGTGCTTAGGGATCATTTTTATCTCATTTCTATGAATAAAAGAGGCCAGGAGATTTGGATTATGAAGGTCAGAAGGAGAATTTGTCAGATTGAGTTTGGCCTCTTCTGTCGCCCAATTCCCAAAATCTGAGCGACCAGCAGCGGCGGGCGGACTACCAGCAGCTCTACTTCAACACGGCTTTACTGTTAAAAGTAAAAACGTATTTACTAAAAAGTCTGCTGAGTAACTGATCAAATTATTTAAAAATTACATCATCAGACGGACCAAAATATAACGCTGAGTGGAGATTTTGGTTGTTTAAGGACCAAAATGACAATAATTCACATAACAAAAAATAAAATCAGGCAAAACAAAATTTTTCCAACTCAGTTTCTTCCAGTGAAAAATTTATAAAACTTTAACAAAAATGTCTGTCTGCTGAATTTTTGGTTAAAATATGTTTGTTTTTCATTCAGTGGGTAGAAAATCCAGAAATTTACTCAAGTAAGAGCAGAAATACTTCATATTAATAAATTACACAAAGTACAGCATAGTACAAAGGTTTTCATTTTTTAAACATCTTCTCTCAAAAGTTACTAAAGTAAATGGAATTGAGTAAAAGTAACTGGTTACTACCTACCTGGAGATCAGATCACCTGGTACAACAGGTTTGGTTTTACAGTGTGGAGGAGCAACACACACAACCTGATTTCATTCATTCACATCCATCAAAACGTGAGTTCAGAGTAAACAAACATGGCCGACGGTTAGAGGATTATAGTAACAGAGACGTCTTCAACATCCACCGGACTTCCTGGCAGTTGTTTTGTTTTCTGTGTATTTTGGATTTCTCTCCGTTTTCGTTTTCTGAAGCTGCATTCACACCAGTTCGGTTTAGTCCGATGAAGGAGAAATCCTACAATCGCTAAAACCTGACTTCATTTTTGTTTAAATTTTGTGAAGAAGGAAGTTGAGCTCAGTGTCTTCAGTGGTTCTTGGTGCAGCGCCCCCACAGGTGAGGAGGGGAACAGCTCTTCCAAAGGGTTTGGATCATTTGACACGTTTACTGATGTCGGTGTTGGGGATGTGCGTGTTTGCTGCAGTAGGTTTCAGACGGCTTGAATAGATTTGGTTAAAGGCCAACTCCTTTTTGCATAATGTGTAAACAATAACAGTCTTTTCCAGAGCAGTGTGAAAGCAAACCGAAGCAGCTGAAAATGTAACAAATGTTGCAGCTTTGCTCCCCAGTCAAACCGGAGCATCTTTCCTCATCCTCCTTAGGGAAACCACACGCTACGATGAATATCCCAGATGTTAGATCAGAGTGGTCCCGACGTTCTTCCAGCTATATCCGACCTGAAGAGTCATCCTGATATCTGAGGGTCCTTAAGGGAGAAATCGGCATGAAAATCTTGTTTACATCTGTTTGCATCTGTCGCTGCCATGATGTTTAATCACTTAAGAGAACAAGCTTAACCACATGATTTTAATTGAATTTCCGATTGCAAAATTAAAGGGATCTTTACATGACGAGAATATAGACAGAAATGTTCCTATATTTGTAATGAAAACGCAGGTAGTGATCATGAGAGCGGTGATCAGAACTGGGTAAGAGTACTGAAGGAGAAGTGGGCCGACGGCAGCAGACGGTAAATGCAGCCAGATGGCGGCGAGATTTTAGTTTTCTGAGGTAAAAACGTATAAACTGTTTCCTCCAGTGTTTGTTCCAATAAATAAAGCGGTAACTGACTCCATCCGTTTATCACTGCTTCCATTACAGCGAGAACAAGCGTCTTCACACCGTTCAGAGGTTCTGGCACGCTCCAAATTACTCCAGCAGCAGAACAGTAGGAGTGAATGGATCCTTTTCCCCCTCCTGTCTTCCTCTGAGACTAAACACCAGGAAACCGCAGAGTGGGATTTTTCTGAGTCAACCCCCCACCACTACCACCTCCAGTTGGCACAAACATACACACACCACCCTGTACACAGGAATCAATCTCCCCAGACATTTTTACTTTTATTACTCCCCTGCAGCTACTGAAGCCGGCTCCGCCTCGCTCATATTTGATCAAACCAAAGAGGAATATTGTTTTTGTTTTTTTACCTCAGTGCAGCCGGATTCCTGTCTAATAAGGTGGAGCTGTGGGTTTGTAGCCATGTGTCACCGTGAGGGAGGGCGAGGAGTAAACATGCCACATCATTCATGCAGAAGCAGTTGGAAACTTTATTGAAAGCAAAGCCACAGTTGTGTACACACAGCCGCTTGTAAAACTCTGTTTGGGGTGTTTGCAGGAGTTTCTGGAAGCTTAGAAACTTCCTTAATCTGCTGACTCACAGCGCCTGGGTTTGGACCCGATGTGGCGCAGCCAGGCTGACATGTTTTATTTTTAAATCAGAGGGCATAAGCATTTTCTGAGGAGCAGCAGGCCTTACAGGATAATATCCCACAGAGCAGCAGAGCGCACATTTTCCATCGGATAACTCCACTTGTCCTGTCCAGATTGGAATATTTCGCTCAGCGTCGTGTTTTACAGTGTAAACAGAGGAATAAAGAGGATCAGCAGTAAACGGAGTCGTTTCCACCATCTGCTGCTTAATGAACAGCTTCCAGACACAACAGACATAATTATGAGTGAGAATCAGGAAATTACAGGTTTTTATTAAAATCATGAGGTTTTTAAACGAAAAGTGAATGTGTAACGGAAAACAGAGAAAAATACATTTTTAATTCTGCAAGGATAATATCATAAATCAGTGTCAGTAAATAGATCTGGAAGCTAGAAATCAGGCCTGAAATCTGGTTGACCTGAACCTTCAGAGTCACATAAAGACAGTTACAAAGTCAGTCTTCTGTCACCTGAAGGCCATTTCCAGGACTAAAGGACAAAAGGAGAAACTCAAATTACTGTCAAAATCTACAAGGGAATAAAAAAATTATTAAATTTAAATAACTGAAGTTTAAAACTGCAACACAAATCCATTCATGTATTAAAAATGGCCGCTGCATATCGACATTAAACACTCATGAACTGCATTAAACACGTGATTATATTGACTAGTTGCACTAAAAGCTGGTTCATGGCAACAAAACTGTCAATTTAGGAAGAAAACTTGACAAGAATTTGTCCTGTCATGTTTTTTTGTAACTAAGTAGAAAAAAATCAGTTATGCTGCTAATGAGTTTAAGAGAACATCTCGTTACAGTTTCTGTCATCAAAACAAATTTATTTACAGCCACAATTTATTCAGTCCTACAGCAGCACGACCAGGAAAGAAAGTCGTACTCAATCATTAGCAACTCAGATTAATCCGCCGGGATCTTAGACAACTTTAAATCACATCAACACATGCAACGTGTTTTTAAAGGGAGAGTTTCTGCTGTTCAGGTGTCTGGGTTGGTTGGTGAGCCATTAAAATGCTCTGTTGCCTCTAAATGAGGAAACTGACAACTGATCAAAAAAGAACAAGAGGGAGGAAAACAACACAAATGAAAACCTTCAATAAAACCAAACTGCATGAATGTTTCAGTCAGTAAACGTGAGCCGTTTCCTGTCAGTGATGTGTGGATAGGTGGCCTGATGCGACGCTCAGCTCACGTTCTGTCTTTAATACAAAGGAGGCAAAGGAAAGGTTATGCTACAGGAATCATCCGGGATAATGAGCCGCTCTCCATGCAGCTGCACACACACACACACACACACACACACACCAGCCGATCCGCTGACACAATGCACTGCTTTTTACACAATAAAGACTCCCAATACATTTATTCAAGATTTCAGATATGTGCATGAGCCAACGCCAGCCTATTATCTGCGTGTCAGATTAATGCTTTCATTTCTCTCTCTCTCTCCGCAGCACAATGGCTGCATTGTTCTGCCATCAGAAGACAGATTATAAAACGGGTTAAGTGGTTCCCGAATCACTGGGGAGCCCATCTTTGGCTAAAATCATTGTTTTCATGTAATTAATATAAAATGAGGTTTTCAATAAGAGAGCGCAGCAGAGATAAGAGGTGCTACTGTTTGTGACGTCCAGGTAGGCAGCGGCTCTCAGAAAACGTTCAGCCAGGCTGGAAAGAGAGCGGCTGATCCGACAGTGGGATGTAAAAACTGGAGGAAGTCATGAAAACATGCAGTTTTTTTGCACGCTGTTTTTCATGACTCCATGTTTTTGTAAAATCACAAATAAGAACTGAAACCTGGACTTGTGAACTAAATTGTAACTATTTTCACCTTTTTTCAGATATTAAATTATAATAATTATAATTCATGTTGTTCTTGTTAAGGAGAAAACAGAAAAAGACAATAAAAGTAAAATCGGTCATATTTGAATTGTTCTTGTACAGAAAAACTAACAAAACTGCATGTAAACAGTGAAATGTACAAGATTTAGAAATCAAACAAAACGCCTCCAGGAAACCACAGTGGAAAACGGTTCGACAGTCTGAGATTACGGAGATTATTTGAAGGAAAATTAATAAAATCCAGTGTGGATTATGAAGTCATAACAGAGTTGTGTTTTCTGATTATGCAGCTTAAGGCTTAATGATAAACATATTGTTGCAGAGTAAGATCCATGACTTTCCCACTACTTCAATATTTATTTCTGGCTAAAATAGATTCATATTTAATCCAAACACTCACATCCTACATGTTTATAGTTTAGATTGAGATCTTTTAAAATCATTGTTTTAGAAAGAATCTTTTCCTTTTGTGTTTTTAAGGAGCTTTGACAGATAATCTAAAATAAAGTCAGGTGGATTCATTCAGGAGAAACGTTTAAATAAAAGGACCTTATCTTTTATTCTTTATTTGTCTTTCAAATCTGATTTAGATTAAATTGGTTCTTGCAGAACTTAACTGTTTAAGTGTCAAATTCAGGAGAGAAAAGTGGAATTTAGCACAACGGAAAATATTTTGTCTCTTTTTCAACAAAAACAAAAAGTTTTTCCCACCAAATTTGGAAGTTAGTAAGTAGGAATCTTAAGATTTTTTTTTCCTAAAAAAATGTTTTAATTTACAAATGTTATGAAAAATATAACTTGAACTGATTCTTCAAACAAACTGGGAGGATCCAGAAGCCCAAATAACGTGAACATAAATAAATATAAAGTCCAATAAGAGCCGATCTTCACGTATCAGTTTGTCTCCTAGATAAACATCATAAAGGAGAAATATTCACCGTTTAGCAGCAGGAGCTGCTGGATGGACTAAAAACACTTAGCAAAGGAGGAGCTGAGGATGCAAATTAGGAAACACGACGACATTTCTGGCACAACTGTAAAGGTGGAAAATTTACAGCGGCCATATATTTGGCAGTAATTGTTCGCCTGACAGTGATATATCTTTTCATTTTGATTTTAATTACCATTTTACACGAGTTTTCCTCTTTTCTCTTCTTGACAAGAGGCAGATTGGTAACGTGTGCTGACGTAGGGCAGAAACGGTGGTGCTTTCAGGTTGGCTCCGACGTCAGGCGCCTCACCTGGCATCCGACTCGCTTAATGAGACTCTGTCATTGTGCTGCTTTAAGCCGGGGGACTTTCCACTCTCTGCAGAAGTTCGAGCAAACAGAAAGAAGAATGCACTCACGTCAGCACACGCCTCGCTCTTCAAAGGCGCATTCGACTGCAAGTGTAAAATGATTGCTTCTCAGTTTGAACCAATTATGGTTTGCATGATTGGAGCCATAAAAACCTCCCGACACCGACCTGCGGGGCATTTTCTCTTCTGGTCCTGTCTCGGCGCTTCGCTTTGAGGGACCGCCTTTTTCTCTCCCTCCTTGTTTGACTTGAACAAGTAAAAACATAAATGTAATCCGCACTTTCTCATGCAAACAAATGGAGGTTTGGAGGATCAGAAAGCGGCGCTAAGAACACCCAGGGATCCCTCCTGAAAGCGCGTTCGTCTCCTTATCGGACTCACTACACGAATCTGGGAATTCAGATAATGGCTGTAAAGATCAGGCTGATTACCAAACCTCTGTCCTACAGATCGTTTATACCATTTATGTACAAACTGTCAGACTCAGTTCAACACGAGGTCAGAGAGTTAAACTAATCAGGCCAGCTTATATGTAACTACAAGTCTTCTGAGTGCAAAGTTTACACACATTGAAATAACTACTGTTAACCTCTGATTTGGTTTGGAGCCTATAATTAATGTGGAAATAACTTTTTGACTGCAAGCTTTACCCAAATCAACCCGAGAGTTAAAAAGGCAAACTGAGAACCTGACAGAGCTGCCACGACAGATTTTACAAAACTTTATAACTTCTGACTGTAAAAACAAAAAGAAACATGAGTATTTGTACAAAACCTTCAGTGTTTTGGTCGAGTTAACAATGCAAACATCTTAGTGCATCGAAAATAAGACAAAACTGACCTGGAAGTAACTTTGTAGCAAGATTTCAAAGTTTAAGGAAAAAAAAAATGTTTTTTTAAATGTTAAAATGTAAAATTTTATTTATAGGAAAAAGTTCTTATTTTTTCATCAATTTTAAGATATTATTGACTTAAAACAAGAACCAGTTTCTTGTTAAAAAGTTACTCATTTCAGGTGATCTTATATATTTGCACCAGAAAAGAGTTTGTCTTTTTGCAAAGTTTATTTTGTTTAAATGTATTCTGTTTATTTAAAATGTGAAGAAAAAGCAGCTGGTTATTAATTAGTGAGGATTGAAGCATAGTGTAGTTCTTCCTAACATAAAACAGAGAATTTCCCATGAATCCGGTGAAACGGATTAGAAAACGCTCCGAGGATCAGCCACACTTTACAGAAAAGCTCCATGCAGTTTGAACAGGTATCTTGTCTTTACCTGCCTGTATTGGCATGTTGATACCTTTAACAGTTTTATAGTGATCATAATTTTCCAAGGAATGTTCAGATCAGATCTGCACGTTTCAGGACGTTTCCACACTGAGGAGGTTTTAGGATCATCAGTTGAAAACAACGTGTTGTTAAATCGTTATCATTTCTGTCTCTAATTCACTACCAACTTATCGAAGCCTCTGTTTCCTTTCAAAGCTGAAACTAAATTTTCTCTTTACCTTGTAGGTCAGAAATAAAACAGAAACATCCAGCAGAGTTGAGTAGTAAATAGTTACATTTACGTCAGTAACTTTATTTTAAATAATTTACTTTTAGGAGTATTTTTACTACGCTGTACTTTCTAGTTTTACTTGAGTAATTTCATTATGAAGCATCTTTTCTCTTGAGTAAAATTTATGGATTTTCTACCCACTGAATGAAAAACATGTTTTAACCAAAAACCCTCCAGACAGACGCACAGCTGCAGTTTTTATTAAAGTTTTTTATTGAAATAAACTGATTTGAAAACATTTTCTTTTGTCTGATTTTATTTCTTTGCTATTTATATAAATTATCATTTTTGTCCTTAAATTACAAAAATTTCCACTTAACTTTCTGTCTTTGATGTAATTTGTAAATATTAAATGACTGATAACTTGATGAGTTACTTTTCACCAGATACGTTTTTGAGTAATTTCCTGGATGTTTACGTTTCGCCTTTAATTGAGTAGGCATGCAGTGCTCCTCCCACCTGGTCCAGGTTTTGGTGCTGTACCACCTGTGCAGCGCCTCGCGCCTCAGCAACTGTTTAGAAATGAATTTTTCTGGCTGCTTTTTGAACACTGGCTGTTTATTTAAGGATTAAGTTCCTGTCTGTGTTTCTGTCTGCCTGTCTGGGGAGAACAGTGGTGCTGTGGGCTCACCCTCCCTCTTGCTAAACACAGAAAAAACAACAACAACAAAGGAAGTCGCCATGGCAACCAGTGACCCAGAATTATTGGAGACATTCATTGGGCAGGTTCTTGTTTTTCTAATTTCCAAATGATTAAAAACGCAAAAAAAAATTAATTTTTAGGAGTGTTGTTGCATTAGTACCTTTAAAGAATATATCTAAAGGTTTTTTTTGTTTTTCCAAATATAACTCCATGTTACCTATTTAGAGGACGTTGGCGTCTTACCTGACATATTTCTGTTTTTTCTTATGACAGTTCATGTTCAAAATGAAGCAAAGCAGATCTGATTACCCGCATTGTTGGAGAAATGTGTTTTTTCAGCCTAGTAGGAGTTGTTTTGATTTGTCTTTCATTCGGGACGTTGCATTACAGAGTTCATGTGAGGTGAAGTGTGCAGAAAAGCTCCAGGCTGAGCAGGACGCAGACAGATGGGCGGACGGATTGGTGCACATCATCCTTCAAATTTAGATTTTAAGAGTCAGGAAGTCATAGAAATGAAAGATTAAGTGGAATAGAAAGAAATGCAACATTGGATGAACATCAACAAATGATGTTACACGGCTATATTATCAAGCAACACGCTATAAATGTCGTTTTGCTGAACTGCAGGATTCATGAATGTCAAGAAATGAATTCCAAATGCAGCAGAAATCTGAGAGAATCCAGCAGAATCTGGACTGTGCAGACCAACATGCTAAATGCTAATTAATGTTTATAGCAGAACAATTACAGAAACACTATAATTGTTTCTGTAAACAATTACAGAAACAATTACAACTTCTGAAGCAAGTTAGAAAGAGTTAAAAAAAAAAAGAAAAAACTTTTTCAGGACTTGGGATTGGAACATTGGTTCCAGAAATGTCCTTCAGGCAGCTGTGAGAAAAGGAAAGATCATCTGATCACAACCGTCTCTCACTTATCCACGTGTGGGTTGTACGGGTCAATGAGTCCAGAAAGGAATCCCAGACATTCTTTGTTCTACATTTTGCTTTGTATAGTCTGGATCCTCGACGACTGAGGAACTTGCTGGACTCTGATGAAGCTTTAAGTGATTCGATCTGATTTTACCCATTCGCTAACGTCTGGCCGTGACGCGGTGCACCAACCGTGAAGGAAGCTTCGCTATGAAGCTTACCAGGAATTAGGTGAGCTATAAACAACCACCCTCCACTGCAAAGAGCATAAAGAAGGACATCCATGTCAGCAGCAAAATATCTAAAATATTCATCTTGCTTTGACTTTAGTTTGGCTTTCGATTTTAAAAGTGACCTATGACGCTTCCTTCAACAGATTAGCATTAATCTATGGGCGATGCAAAACAAATTCATTACATTTTTTGTGCAAAAATTATTCTTAGATAAGGAGTATTTAGCTGTTTTAGGGCCTCTTGTTACTTTAAATCCATATAAGCTGCTGCTAGCCACGCCCCCAACTCCAAGTTTACACCCACATGTGAGAATGACTGCAAACAGAATGCTGTTGAAAAGCATTAGTAGCGCCTCCTGCTCAGTGAGTGGNTTCTGGNTGATAANTCAANAACTAAACACTTTTCTTTTCCAGCAGCCATTGTACAGCATACACAGCAGTAAAACCAGCTGACCAAACATGCTGGATCTCAGCTTGGGTTGCTAGGTAACGGGGCAGAACTCTGGCAGGGTTGCTAGGTAGCAGGCAGTGCCTGCTGATTTGTGAAGCTACATTCTGAAGGTTTTTGAAATGGCTCATTTTCCAGACACCAAAAAACAAATGTATTCCCAAAAATGGTCTGGGCTGTCTTAAGAAGCAGCAGAAACCCAAATTAAAGTCCAAAAACATCCAAAATGTGAATTTTGTATAATAGGTCTCCTTATTTCCCTGTATTTTTACGATGCAAAGCACTTTGAACTGCCTGGTTGGCAACATGTGCTAGACAAATAAACTTGATTGATTGGTTTAAGACCGTTATGAGAACCAAATACTTAATCTTAATAAGTTTGGGATCGTAATCTAACCTCACCTCCAGGTCTGTCAGAAACACATCGTTTGTCTCTTAGTCACATTTTAATCGTCTTTGGAGGACTTTCCATTAGAACTGAGCTGCTGCTGTTAACTCCACCCTCCTTTATGCGAACCACAGTCATTAAAAATCATTCAGCTACTGTACCACTTTTTTTCTGTTTGCTGAAAGGAGTGTGTGCAGACATGTCCGACATGTCAAATTCAAACATCGTCAGACGTGAGTGAAAAAGGAAAAATAAGAAAACGACATAGAACAAGAAACAAACGACTACTAAAACAAATGTGACGACTTGTTGCCAGGAAAACGTCTCTCCGCTGTGAGAGCATCGAGGTACATACGACGTTCCTCGGCCGTCGGTTCTGCTGTGTCTCACCTAACATGTAGTCTCATTTCCGCAACTTTGAATTTGTTTCATCGGTTCCCATCTGACACTGAGCAGCCTCTCTTGGCTTTATGGTCTCCGGCGTCGCTGCCACTCCCCGGCTTGATTTACTGCAGGCTTTTGGCCACACTGAAGTCTCACCTTTACTACCTGTCAGTTAAACGTCTGCTTTCTGCAGCTGCAGGGTTGGGAGACAATCCAGGCCTTTCAGGAGCAACCTGAAGATGGATGCAACACGTCAGCTCGAGTCCAGTGAACCCATGTAAACTAAACGAGTTTGGCCGCTTTTCGTGTTTCTGTCCCTCCATCCGTCAGGCTGGAGACACAGAGAAGCAGGTGAGCCAGGTGAGAGGATGTAAAACACAAGATAAAGAGGATTTCTCTCACTGAAACTATATTTTTATATCT